TCCTCAGGACCAGCAGGAGCTCCAACGTCCGGGTCCCCAGCACCAGCAGCAGCGCCACCGCTCGGGTCCTCAGCTCCAGCAGCAGCTCCACCAGGCGGGTCCGCAGCACCAGCAGCAGCGCCACCCCCAGAGTCGGCAGCTCCAACTCCGCTAGCACCGCCAGCGCCAGAGTCCCCAGCTCCAGCAGCTCCAGTCGCAGTGCTCCCAGAACAACCAGTCCCGGCAGCTCCAGTACCCCCAGTACGAGCACCCCCAGGACGAGCAGCCCCAGCACCCCCAACTCCAGCCGAGCCACTAGGACGGCGAAAGCGCCGGACGTACCAGTCACGAAGCTGCTGCGGTGTGAGAGACTGCTCAGCACCCCGAACCGGAGCACCCCCAGACGCAGTAACCCGAGGCTCCGTAGGCTCAGTAGCAGCACCCCCAGGCTCAGTACCCGCAGGCTCAGTACCCGCAGGCTCAGCACCCCCAGTCGCAGCACCCCCAGGCTCAGCACCCCCAGGCGGCAAACTCTCAGGCACAGTACCCTCAGCTCCAGCACCCGTAGTCCCAGCACTCCCAGGCCCCGCACCCGCAGGCTCAGCACCCCCAGGCTCAGCACCCCCAGGCTCCGTACTCTCAGGCACCGTACCCTCAGCTCCAGCACCCTCAGTCCCAGCACCTGCAGCCCCAGCACCCCCAGGCCCAGCACCCCCAGGCTCAGCACCCCCAGGCTCAGCACTCCCAGCAGCACCACCCGCAGCAGCACCTGAGTCACCTGTGAACTCGACAGGCTCAGCGACGGGAGGAGGGTCTACCTGAGAGACACCTGAAGGAGCAGGACCCTGAGGGGGAAGGGGGTCTACCGGAGGGGGACCAGGAGCAAGGAAAAGCGGCGGGGGAGGGAGGGGGGCAGTGCGGTAGGGGAAGAGACGGTAAAAAGGGACCGACTCGTCAAAGGTGACATCCTGAGAGGCGAAGACCCGGCGCGAGGTGGGGTGGTAAAACTGCCAGCCAGGCGCGTCAGGGACAAAGCCAAGGAAGACACAGGGAAGCGTGCGGGAGGAGAGCTTGTCCGCGGACGTATCGCGGACAAGGGCACGAGCACCCCACACCCGGAAGCGCGACGCATCGCCAACCTCCCCCGTCCAACGCAGTGTGGGCGAGGTCTCCGGCAAGGAGACACGGGGCCAGAGGTTGAGCTGATGCGCGGCGTACCGGACAGCAAACGGCCACAGAAAATGGGGAGCCGCCACATGGATCAAGGAGGTACGAGCGACCTCCATGACCAGGCCAATGCGGCGCTCAGCAACCCCATTCTGCTGTGGGGAGTCCGGAAGCGTGAAGGTCTGCTCGATGCCCTCCGCCTGACAGAAGGTCCTCAAGAGATCGGAGGAAAACTCACCACCTCTGTCAGAGTGCAGACGCAGGACAGGAAGATCCGTCCGGAAACGGCGGCGGAGCTGGAGACGAACCGTGCGGATCCAAGGGATCAGAACAGCAGGGACCTCACCCTTGGTGCGCAAGGGGAAGACCGTGGTGTAACGCGAGTAGTCGTCGACAACCAGCAAAAAGTACCGCTCACCGCCCTGACCACGAACGCGGGCTGGGCCCCACACGTCCAGGTGGAGGGTCTGCAGAGGAGCCTCTGTCGGGGGGAACGAGGAGGAGTGAGGAGCGGCGCGCTGCCGCCCCTCGACGCAAGGAAGGCAAGGCGGCGCAGGCGAGGCAGGGAGGGGAGGGAGGGACCTGGGAAGACCAGACACAAGGTGGCGACGGTGCATGCCACGAAGGCGTGGCAAGGAGGGGTGACCCAGGCGGTGGTGCCAGAGAAGAGTCTGGTGCGACAGGGAACGACACTCACAGGCGTGGGCTACCAGACCTGACGCAGACACCTGACCGACAGCAGCGACCTGAGGAGACGCAGTGGTCAGTGTGTAGAGACTCGACCCCGGCCGACGGGTAAACGTAGCCAGGTGACGGCCGGTCCTGGAGCACGTGCAGATCGCCACACGCTGTCCGCCAGGGGTAAAGGTGTCAACCCACTGATCCTGGAGGACAGCGTTGCTCACCAGGTTCGTCGAGAACGAGGGGAGGTGGAAACCCGACAACGAGCCAGACGGAACCGCCGGACAAGGGAGGACAGTGGTGGACTGGGCAAGGACTGGGCCCCCAGAGGGGTCAGCCAAGGAGACTGGGACCGGTGCAGGAAGCGGTGTGAGCTCAGTACTGTCACGAAAGAAGCAACGGGAAGCACCTGAGTCAAGGGTGAAGGTGTGACAGGCCTCAGCCGGTGCGGTACCTGAGAGAGCAGTCTCTGTGGGTGCTGTACCTGAGAGAGCAGACTCGAAACCAGCCGGGACAGCACTGGGGGGAGCAAGTACAGGGGGCACCATACCAGAGAGAGCAGACTCACTAGTACCCAGGGCAGCGGGCTCTATACCTGGGTCAGGCGGCACACACAAGTAACAGTCTCCCTCGGCACTAACAGTCAATGCATACATGGCAGCAATAATAGCATCATAGTCAAGAGCAAAGACATCAACACCAGCCCTCATGAGCTCAGCCCAGCGGGGGCGCTCAACATCCGCGCCCATCTCCTCACGCCAAGCGTCGTCAAGGCGGGAGAAGCAGCGGTACGGGGTGTGGAACCTCCCACACGTCTGTCCCTTGCGGTCACCTGTGCGAATGACATAAGAACAGCGGCCACTGCCCCCCGACGTCCCACGCTGAGCAAGCCACTCACGAAGCTGCTGGGTCGTCTGGGGACGCTGCTGCTGCTGGGAGCTCTGGCCCGAGCCAGTGCCTCCACTCCGACCGCCGCCGCCACCACTACCACCGCTCCGACCGCCACCGCCACCACCGCCACCACCGCCACCGCCGCCACTGCCGCCGCCGCCACTACTGCCACTGCTTCCGCCGCCGCCCCCGCCTCCACCACCGACCCCACTCCCACCAGCGCTCCCGCCACCGCTCCCTCCAGCACCGCCTCCCCCCCCACCTCCCCCACCTCCTCCCCCCCCAGCGCCACCACCACCACCCTTGCCCCCCTTGCCCTTGCCGGTGCGGCGCCTCCCACCAGGAGCAGAAGCAGCGCCAACAGACTCAGCACCAAGGAAGTCAACAGCAGCAGCAGCAGCGTAGGAGGGAGCGAGGGGAGAGGGAGAACACCCCTCAAAGATGGGGGTGCGAGGAGCGCCACGAGCAGCACCAACAGCTACAATGCTCTTTTCGGCCGCGAGCAGCTGCTCCTCTAGGAGGGCGACTGTGAGCTCAGTGGGACAGCGAGCAAGGAAGTGGTCTCGAACTGAGCGGAGGGTGTCAGGGAGACGGGTGACTATGAAGTGGAGTGTCCAGTACAGTGGAGGGGGGTTCTTAGCGCAGAACTCGGTGGGAAGGGCGGCACGCAGGCGAGCATCACTAGTGCGAAGGTGGGTGATAAGATCGGCGACTGTAGTAAAGGTGGACAGATCGGGGAACAGGTACGGCAGCATGAGGCGGCTAAGCTCGGCTGTGGCAGGCGAGGAGTAGCGAGCAACGACAGCATCGTACAGGGCCTTAGCGGATTTGCAGTCGCCAAAATGCTCGAGCTCAGCTAGCGGCAGGTGACTACGAATGGCTAGGCGAGCAGCTGCGTCACGAGTCTGCCAGTGGGAACGAACACTAAGCTCGGCTGTGGCAGCAGGAGCAGCGGCAGCACCAGACGCGTAGTCATAGAGGGAGATGTGGTCCGTGCTATTGCTCATAAGATACAACTGCAGGTCGTCGAGCCAGGAAGTGAACTGCACGGGACGGCCCTCAGCATCGAAGGAAAGAACGCGAATAGAGGCCATAGCTCAGGCGTGAGGGCACAGCAGAGCAGCGGCAGCAGCAGAGGGGACGCAGCAAGCGGGCAGTGAGGCAGCGGGCGGCGCTGCGAAGCAGGTAGCGGGCGGGCGGGCGGCGCTGCGAGCGGGCAGCGAAGCGGGCGGGCCGCGAAGCGGGCAGCGAGCGGGCGGGCGGGCTGCGAAGCGGGCAGCGGGGCGAGCGGGCTGCGAAGCGGGCGGGCCGCGAAGCGGGCAGCGAGCGGGCGGGCGGGCCGCGAAGCGGGCAGCGGGGCGAGCGGGCTGCGAGGCGGGCGGGCCGCGAAGCGGGCAGCGAGCGGGCGGGCGGGCTGCGAAGCGGGCGGGCCGCGAAGCGGGCAGCGAGCGAGCGGGCTGCGAAGCGGGCGGGCCGCGAAGCGGGCAGCGAGCGGGCGGGCGGGCCGCGAAGCGGGCAGCGAGCGGGCGAGCGGGCTGCGAAGCGGGCGGGCCGCGAAGCGGGCAGCGAGCGAGCGGGCTGCGAAGCGGGCGGGCCGCGAAGCGGGCAGCGGGCGGGCGACACTGCGAGGGGCGCGCGAGGGCGCTAGTGAGGGGCGCGCGAGGGCGCTAGCAAGGGGCGCGCGAGGGCGCTAACGAGGGGCGCGCGAGGGCGCTAACGAGGGTGCGCGCGAGGGCGCTAACGAGGGGCGCGCGAGGGCGCTAACGAGGGCGCACGAGGGCGCTACGAGGCTAGGGCACGGGGTAGCGTGGTAACCGCATGCGAGCGGTGGTGGGCCCTTAAAAAAACGGTCGGTAGGTCCTAGGGACCTCCTGCTCTGAATACCATTTCAGAATAGCTAGGCAAGAATGATTGAACTAGCAGAAGTTTGGGTACAAATATGAAACCCTAGTTGGGGTTGTACCCCATATTGGCTACCCCACTACAGCCTACAAGCATAATACAGTTTAACACGCTTGGCACCACGATCGGTGTAGAATGTCGCAGTGTAGGTGGCGCCGGCTGGGAAGAAGAAGGTGTGGTTGTTCCGGCAAGATGGGCTGCAACATGGACACGGGAAAGGCCGTTCTGGCTATGTGAGTTGCTGTACCAACTGCGCAGTACTCTATCAAGTTAAGACGCCAGAGAGTGTAGGAGCGCTCACACAAACTGTGGCGTGAGTACGGGTTGCATATAGTCGTCACGAGCACACATAACAACAGGAAGGGCGTATTGACAACACGTTATTCAAACGCACCTGTTGCATCAGATGGGTCGTACGGAGTGGTTGGTGACGGCGTTGTGGATGGTCCTTTAGTAGTGTCCGGGCGAGGGGTTGCGGTGGGCATCGGGTCTGCGGGTCCACATGGCGATGCGGAAGATGCTGGTGCAGCTGAAGGGTGGGTCGCAGAAGCGCGGGACGGTGCTGCGTATGGGGGTGGCGCTGCGGACGGCCCTGGTGCTGCCGATGGGCTTGCCGACTCGGATGATGCATGTGCCTCGGATGTGCGTGTCGCTGAAGCGGGCGACGGTGCCGTGGACGGAAGGGGCGCAGCTGGGGGCCCGGGCGCGGCAGATGGCCCTGGCGTGGCGGATGATGCATGTGCTGCGGCTGGGCGGGTCGCTGCAGCGGGCGACGGTGCTGTGGAAGGGCGGGGCGCTGCGGACGGCCCTGGCGTTGCAGCCGGGCCTGGCGTGGCGGATGATGCATGTGCCGCTGCTGGGCGGGTCGCAGCAGCGGGCGACGGTGCTGTGGAAGGGCGGGGCGCTGCGGACGGCCCTGGCGTTGCAGACGGGCCTGGCGTGGCGGATGATGCATGTGCAGCGGCGGGGCGGGTCGCAGCAGCGGGCGACGGTGCTGTGGACGGCCGGGGCGCTCCGGACGGCCCCGCCGCCGCGGCATTCGGAGGTGGTCGTCCTGCGCCGCTCTGTCTCTGTCGGCGGCCGCTTCGCTGCGACAGTGCCTGGCGAGCACGACGCCGTGCTTCAGCCGCTTCGGCCGCAATGTTGTTGGCGGTCGCACGCGTCCGGCGTGTTTGCTGCACGTTGCGGCGGCGAATACGGAAACCAGCTGGTGGAGTGGGGTTTGGACCGACCGCGTCGGCAACAGGCGCCGGACCGTAGAGGTAAGTCGTGAGCAGGGGATGGGATTCCCGTGCACCGACCTTGAGCTCGTTGTACTTCTCCAATGTCCGGGCTGTCAAAAGCCGCCACAACATGTCCGAGGAGGTCTTCCCGAACCGCTTCACGTTCTGCTGCATGTGCCACCCACAAAAGTAGTGCGGAGTCTCAGGGAACACTTCCTTCACCGCCGGGATGAGACCTTTGTCCCGGTCATTGATGATGGCCGCGTCGTCCCGTCCCTTCCAGTCGGAGCAGTGCTTGTCAAAGAGACGGCAAAACCACGTCCATGTGTCCTTGGTTTCGCTCTCTACGAGGGCCCACGCGATGGGGATGATCTGCTGATTGCCGTCCATCGCGTTGGCGTACAGCAGGGTAGCCTTTTGAGCACGGATCAGGAACGTCGCGTCCATTGCGATGACAGGCCTGCAGGTCTTCAGCGCTTCGCGTGTTGCACTCGGCGCCATGAAGAAGCGGAGAAATTCGTGGTTGTACGTCAGAAGCTCCACGGTTGCTCCTCTGTCGATCCGCCGAATGCGCTCTTGCACCGCCGGAATGTAGCGGAAAGACTCGCACCAGTCGCCGAATCGCTGCGCCGTGATGCCTACCTTCAGCCTTCGTGGGAGGAATGTATGGGTGGTATCGGGACATGAGTGAAGTGGAGGCAACACTGGCTGTAACAGAGAAGATCCCCTGATGTACGGCCTATGACGGGTGTACTCTCACCGGTAGGCGTTGTTGTAAGTTAACTTCGGGCCATAGCAGGCCTGGATCTGCTTGGCGTAGTCCCAAGGGGCGTTAAACGGCGCTGCACGGACGAAGTTGCCGAATTTCCGCCAAAGGTACTTCCTCTTACGTCCCATACCCGGCCACCACCGGGCCCGCATGCGGCGGTCGCATGTGTGCTCTGCGGGATCGGACAGCTCCACGATTCGCCACGGTCTGTTCCGCTGGAGACGCGCGTAGCTGCACCGCCATGGACAAGGGGGGTCCAACCCAAGCTTCTGACTCTTGCACAATGCTAGCGCCGATGCCTTCCTGGTAGACTTCATGTAGAAACCGTATTTATGAGTCACCGCAGCATCAAGCAAAGCATAGAGGCAATGATCCCGCGAGGAGTACCAGTTACCCTCCTCAATGGCAGCGTTGTCATTGATAGTAGGCCCCTCTTCTGGTTCAAACTCGACGTCGAAGTTCTCCAGTATAATGTCATACATGTCACGGCCATTAGCCGGAGGTTCCTCCATCGTGTATCTGATACAACACCTAGGTTATCCCCTCGCTATAAGTACATGGTCATCTGGTGGCCTCGCTTCTTAACGGCGAGACGCCAACACATGTGTACGCCATGTAGAACTGTCTCTGGTGAGACGACTACGGTGGACTCGGAAACCCTGACAATTCGTACAACAGCTAGGAACAACAATAATTCAGTTGACAGTCCCAGGTGCCAACTTACTGGCAGCGGCTGCCACCGGTGCGAATCGTCAGAACTCGCGGCGCCTGAATCGTGTTATGTTCGCTGGCGCGTTTATTATCACACGTCGCCTTGTGGCATGTTTATGGTAAAAGTCTCGCGATGATGGCAAAATTACACGGATCGTTCAAAAACTCGCAGATCGCCCGCCAACACAACGATTCGCGTGCATTCTTGCATGACGTGTCTGACGCAAGTACTTGCACGTGGAATCTAGTTCAGAACGTCAGAATCGAACCGAGTCGCCCGACAGATGAAGTTGTGTAGCGCAGGGTCCACGTTACGTTTATGTAGAACCGCGTGGCACGCCCGAAAGAATGGCTAAATAACACTCGCCAGTCTTGTTTCGCCACGTTCAACCCCACAAACCTCCATTCCCCCAAAGTTCTGAACCGAAACTGATTGCCGAACTTGGACGCGCCACACATACGCCGAACCGACTTCATCAGTGTCAGGAACGAAATGCCCAATAGGATGAAACTACGTGGCAGGTGAGCTCGATGTCAACCAGCAAACTGCCCACCGACATTTTGGAACCCCCGAAAAAAAGGCCTTATGGTGTTTAAATGAAGCTAAATCCGGGGACCGCGCGCCGCTCGCGATAAAAGGTGGGACGTGTGCCTTTTGGGTTGTGTAAAAATTTTAGCGCGATGAAAAAAATTCGCGAGACCTAAACCCGCGCCGCGGCAATTCTCTCATCCTTTGCCCCACTCCTCTCCCATCCCAAACCAACCCCCTCCATTCTCTTCTGATCGTTCCCCTGCGGTGCGACAATTATCTGCGCTGCGTGGAATTGAAGGCTGGAATAGTCCATGTCTGCCAGGCTGGCAAGTCTCCATGACAGATCAGAATCAGGTGAGGCTGCCATTCCACACTTGAACAAGCTCTACTGTGAACGCATGCGCAAACAAACTCTACACCAACGTATCACATCACACGCTCCAATCTGTAATCGTCACGATATTTCCTTGTCGAATGGCGTTCTTTTTTCGTGATTCCCTGGTGTCGGTGGGGAGCAGAAATCCACGTCGACACGGAGTGTCTTGACCCTGCCTCGCGCAAACACAACAGGTTGTTGAGGTTTGGTTGGGGCGTAGGTGCTTGCTGCTGTTGCGTTGCAGGCTTGCAGCATGGTGAAATGGAAGCACACCCTCCCAAACCAACAACCCGAACCGACCTCCACGAGTCGCCCGACCTCCCCAACCTCTTGCCCAAACCCAATCTCCCTCTCCGCTCCTTGTACAGTACACTGTACACATCCGGATGTGCAAGGGGCACCGTGCAAGGGGCACCCTGTCATTTTTAGGTTCCCGCAGACGTTACAGCGGTAGAGTACGAACGTGAGCAACCCCTATCGTTGCCCAAGGTTGTTGTGGGGGTGGATTGCCCAAAGTCTTCATTTCGTGCCCTTTCTTGGATGGTTCTACAGATATTTCGACAGGTCAGGGTTACTTTGATTGTATGTGCCGACATCCATATAGAGAATACCTGGAAAAAGAACCATTAGTGTGGAACGTGATTCTGTACTTTCACGGCTGAGACTCAAAACATAAAGCGGATCCAAAACTGGAACACATTTTACGCAATCAGTGGCTTAATGACCGTGTTACCCAATTTATGGGTATACAAGGTCAGGCCGGTAAGGAGGTCCCAAGTTTCCTGATAAACAGATTTTCCGTCTGCTGGTCTGCGCTCTCAAAGGCAACCTCCACCCCAGTGCCGGCGTGTTCCGCCAGCCCCCCAGAAGGGGGTTTCGCACTGCTTACCTCGATACCCAGCGAGGCGTGTAAACAAGTGGGTAGACGGATTACGATCGACAGCCGGGGGTAACCCAAAGGGGGCCATCCCCCCTCCTTACCTTTACCTTTACCTCAAAGGCAACCTCCGTCCAGAGGCAGAGCAACTTCTACGTTGGAACACAGATTTCTTTCTGTTCCTCCCCTCTCTTCGTCACGAGGGGGTGACTGCGGCAGGGCACTATGGCTGTCGCGTTAGTTGCTCTCCGCGTCATGCGAGCTAAGAGTCAAACGTGGCACATCGTGTTTGGTGAACAGATTCGTTTTCTGCAGAGCCCTTGCGAAGCACGCAAGCAGGTCAAGCTAACTACACTGTACACACAGAGCACCTCCCGCGCGGTTCGAAATGGGTTTTCTCTGGGGTAGGCGTTTGCGTTGGTTTTCCGTTTGCGGCTCTGAAAGACTTTTCCTCGTACAGCACGAGGGGCGCAGCAGACTTCCGGCACATGCTCTGCATACTGACCTGTGGCGACTCGTAGGCTGTTCGCACGCCTGCACCTCATCGGCAGGCTGCGGCAGCCCCGTCAGCACCTGGATATCATGTACCGTCCAGTTCCGTAAGCACCGACGTACCATTGTGATGATGGTTAACCACCGCTGGGAAGGGGTCCTTACAAAACCGAATATCAACTTGAGCCTCCGAAACGCCAAAGGCGTTCTAGCACAGTGTAATAGTACTAGCACTAGTACTGAAAGAACGCACACAGTGGAGTACTGTAGCAGGTCAGCAAGTACGACGTAATCTGTATTGGTCCTCCTTTCCGAGGAGAAAGCGTCCAATGGAGTCCATTCCATTTGAGTACATGAGAGGCCAAGAATCTCGACCACTGGCAATTTCACAGCCATAAAAGTTGAAGCCTCGAAACCTTAGGACCTCAATACAGTTCACGATTTCGCCACAAGATATTGTGATTCTTCTTTTGAACACACGACGTAAGAAACCCCTAGTCACTACTACCCGCACCGCTATCGGCAGACCATTGTACTAGATAATATGGCCGCAGACTTTGGAGGAACGATGGTAGACGCTGCGCGGATCTTGACTTACGACAAAACCGTCACGTTAGCTTCCAACACATCTGAAGCATCAAAGCCGATGGATATGGAGGATTGCTCGCACCACCGTCAACTACTAGCGGCGGCAGCTCCTGCGAGCTCTTTCGTTACCGGGAGTTCAGCCGATGCCACCGACAGCAATGCAGCGGCCCGTATGCTGCCGTTCGCGACGGTGCCGCTCGAAGCCGTATACGCCGTCGCGCGGGAGGAGCTCGGCCGGGGGGAGTTCGGCGTGGTCCGGACGTGCATGCAGCGCGCGACGGGGCAGCTTCTAGCGTGCAAGTCCGTCGACAAGGCGCGGCTACGCGAGGGCAACCGCGCGGGCGACCTGGAAATGGAGCTCCTCTGCATGGGCGCGCTTCCGCCGCATCCGCATGTGGTGCAGCTCGCGAGCGTGCACGAGGACGCGTGCGACGTGCATCTCGTCATGGACCTGTGCGACGGTGGCGATTTGTTTGACCTTGTCGCCAAGGCTGGGCGACTGCCCGAGGCGTTCGCGGCAGACGTGTTTCGCCAGGTGGTGGAAGCGGTCGCGTTTTGCCACTCGCACGGCGTGCTGCACCTGGACGTGAAGCCGGAGAACATCCTCGTTTGTAACAACGCACCTGGTACCTATAACGGGTCCAGCCGCTGCGGCTGCGCGGCGCCTTCGATACACGTGAAACTGGCCGATTTCGGACAGGCAATAATGCTCTCTCCAGGGCAGAAGGCAGTGGGGCTGGCAGGCTCGTCTTTCTACATGGCCCCTGAAGTCGTGTGCGGGCGTGCATACGACAGCAGCGCAGACCTGTGGAGTCTGGGCGTGCTACTCTACGTGTTGCTGGCAGGATACGTGCCATTTTATGGGTCCGACCTCCCCCAGGTGTTCCTTGCTATCTGCGCCAACGAGCCTGACATGACAGCTGAGCCTTGGTCTGCGATATCGCCGGAGGCGAAGCACCTTGTGCGCTGCTTGCTCTCAGTGGACCCTGCGAGCCGTCCCTCGGCGCTTCACCTGCTCTCTCACCCGTGGCTGGCACGCACTCAACGGGTAGAAGTTGCTGCTTCTACCAAGTCACCACCGCCTCCTCTGCTTGCTGCAGAGGAGGCGTCGTTCCTGTCAGGCCGCACCACACAGCTGACATCCACCACTGACTCTCAGGTTGCTATTACCCGTGGCCCTATGGCTCCTCCAAGTGGTATTTTTCACTTTGCAGCTATTGAGGAGTCGGCAGGGCGTGCTTCTAGTGGTAGTACTGGGCAGAGACGGAGGAGGCGATGCCATGAAGCTGGTGGTGACCTTAGAAGATGCTGACTCATGCATGACCCAATGACTAACCTAGAATTATCCTATTTATTTGGCATAATGCATGGAACATCCATGTTTCAATAAATAAAATAACTCCATGACTTGGAAACCGCTCAACATGTATTCATGGAAGGATCTTGAAATTTCTATAACAATTTGTAGTCCAATTTTTTCGTTCTGAATATCCAAACCATGCTGCTTGTTATGGTTTTGCTGCATTTGGTGCATCATGTACTATCGAATATAATTAACAAGAACCAAGGACAATGACTATCCCTTCGCGATTCCATCCACCATCACCTGCGATGCGCAAATGAGCGAGGGGAAGCACCATCGGCCAGCCCCGTTTGTCTTCTTTCGTCGGGTCGGAGGCAAGGGTGCATCAGAGGAGAAGAAAAGACACGAGTGGTTGGGTTCCCTAGTCACTGGCTGCGGCAGTGGTTGAGGGATGCACATGCACTACTACCCACAGCACACCAAACTGGTCACTGGGACGATACAGTTGAAGTGTACACCGATAGAGCCGCCGCAACCACAGGAAAGCCGTCAACCCTGGGAATATTCGCGAGCCGCAATGCCTCAAGGGTCCCACCATGGCATTGTGTTAGTTAGCACACGGGTTGCAGCAACGGGTGAATGATGGTTGCTTCAGCAGAAAGCACAGGATCATGATAGTTCTGTCCACTATCGAATTCAACGATGCGCGAATGCAGAAATTTGACGTTGTAGCGCGTCGGCCGTTTTTGGACCATTATTAGACCGACTAGCAATATTCCATTCTCCATTTCCCCGTTATAAGCCTGCCACACCAGCCGTCGAATATGATACTGGCCGAACAAGACAGCTGCTGAAATCATACCCGGATTAAATTATAAAGTAGTACCTGGAAGAAACGTTCGCTATGGTAACACTGGCGCTGCCGATATAATATGACCAGTGGCAGTACTAGGACGACTAGAAGTAGTCCTGTGAATGCCGAGGTGGCGATGACTGAGCGGCTGTTAGAAGCAGTACTGCGATGGCAGTGCCACTGGTCGGTGCGGCGGCACCGGCGGCGGCGGTACTGTCGAGGTAGACGCGCCGCAACCACGGCCCTCCGACGACGCTGCGGCGACATCGTCTGCGCGACGGAATCCGTCGCCGCTCGTCAATCTCTGCGACGAGGGCGATTCGCAGACCCTGACGACGGCTTACCAATGCGCCGCCTACGGCACCGACGACGACGACGACGATTCCGGCGACGGTCTCTCCAATCATTCTCTGCCACGCGCCGCCGATCTGGTCCCCGCGACAGATTCGCGAGCGACGGCGAAGACGACGACGCCGACGACGACGACGGCGACGAGTCGAAACTTGCTTTAGCTGTTCCTGCTGCCAAATCTCTGTCGATGCAGAACGATCAGAGTCGCCGACATTTTTGTCTGTCGCACCGCGCCGCGCTGGACCGGCGTATACGGCGTCCGTGTCTCGCACTCGTGGTCGTCTTCGCGTCGCTCTTCTGTCTCGCAGGGACTAAAGCGACCGCCATGGCAACGGGTGGAACGAATCAGGTGAGCCAACGTCTTGTGGCACTCCTCCCCCCACCCTCTCCCCATTTTTCCCTCTCCTCCTACCTTGTCTCTTTTCTGACACAGTTGCTGCCCGCCGCCTCCATCCCTCACTCACACTGCCCCGCACTCTTCATGTCCCTCCTACCCATGCCATCCTGCTCATTCTCCCTCTCAGCTCTCCCTCTCAGCTCTCCCTCTCAGCTCTCCCTCTCAGCTCTCCTACAAACGGTGTCCCCACTCCACCCCTTCTCCCCGCATCCCCCCGGCCCCCACTGCTTCCTTTATACATTCCGCACTCCTCCCTCCTTCCCTCCCTCCCTCCCTCCCTCCCTCCCTCCCTCCCTCCCTCCCTCCCTCCCTCCCTCCCTCCCTCCCTCCCTCCCTCCCTCTCCCCCACCTCCCCCGCCTTCCCACCTCCCCTGCCCCCGCTCTCCCCGCCCTCTCCCCCGGCAGCCTGTGAGCGCGCAGGGCATGGGGCGGCGCAGCAGTGCGCGGAGTCACGCTCGTTCCCCTGCGCCTGCCCTGCCCTTTCCGCCATCCGCGCCTGCCACGTCCGCCTGGCGCAGAGGGGGAGGAGGGGGAGGAGGAAGGGGGGAATGGGGAGGAGAAGGTGGAGGCGGAGGGGGAGGTGGAAGAAGGGGAAGGGGAGGTGGAGGAAGGGGAGGAGGGGGAGGAGCGCGGAGGGCGATGCAGGGAGCGGGGGTGTTCAGCGGGAAAGTGCCTACTGCAAGCGGGTGTGCTGTGAATCAGGTAATCCGGGCGTGGCGTGCAGGAGCGCCGTGAGGGAGGGTTTCTCAATGTGCAATGTGGTGAAGAGGAGTCAGAGGGAGTAAGGGGAAGAGGTGTGGCAATCAGAGGGGGGAAGGCTGCAGCACCTTTTGCGTGTTCCGGGGATTTTCCTCCTTGGAACTCTCCAACTGCCTGTCCCTGAAGTGAATTGCATCCGTGCATGGTTGTGTATAAACGTGCATGTGTGAGGAGGGGGATTGGCGGCGTGTGTGTGTGTGTGTGGAAGGGAGGGGGTTGGGGGGGAAGCGAGAGACAATTATGTCCCCCTCCCCCCCCCCTCGAGAATAGATCATAAGTACCAATGCTGTACCTCCTGTAAGTTGTATCAAATGCCACTCCCCTTCTCCCCTTTCCAGTCTCCCCTTCACCTCTCCTCCAACATCCGTCCCCGCATCCTCAACCCCATACCTTCCCCCATCCCTTCCCCCAAATCCCCCACCCGCCCTTCCGTCCCCGCTCTCCCCCTTTCAGTTCCCCTGCCCAGGCTCAGGATGCATGGCAGTAGGCGGGATGCTGTGTGACGGTCACCCCGACTGCACAGACAAATCCGACGAGGACCTAACTTACTGCATGCAGAGGGGCTTCTGCTTGCAGTGCTCCTCCTCCCCTGCCTCCTGCACCCCTGGCGCTCTCTGCAACGGCGTGAATGAGTGCCCGCGCACGCAGGACTATACCGGGTTGCCTTATACCGAGGACGAGGATCCGGAGATCTGCCGGACGTTTGAGTGCCGGGAAGGGGCGGAGATTAAGTGCGAGGACAGCTGGGCGTGTTTGGATAAGAAATTGTTTTGTAACGGGCAGAATGACTGCCCGGTTTTGGATCCTACTGTGAGCTACACGCCAGATGAGGACCCGAGTTTCTGCCAAGAGTATACGTGTCCGGAAGGGTACAGAAAATGCAGCAGCAGTAACGTGTGTCGCAGGGAGGGGGACTTTTGTAACGGGCGTAACGACTGTCCGGTTACCGACTCCTCGAAGTCTTACACTGATGATGAGGACCCGAGATTCTGCTTGGGTTTTGCGTGCGCGGCTGGTTACCGCAAGTGCAACAACAGTAACACGTGTATGCCCGACTTCCTCTTCTGCGACGGAGCGAACGACTGCCCTAAAACGAACACGGGTTCGGCTTATACCGAGGACGAGGATCCCCAGTTCTGCCGGTCGCTCCCATGCCGGTATGCCTCCGAGCGTCGGTGTGACAGTAGCTGGATGTGCATAAATCGAGCTCTCTTCTGCGATGGTAAGAACGACTGTCCTGTAACAGACCCTTCGGTCCCTTACACGTTCGACGAGTCTCCTTCCGTGTGCCATTCCCACCGGTGCAAGGCGCCTCAAGTAAAGTGCGAAGGGTCGTATGCGTGCATAGACGCGGCTAAGATGTGTGATGGGAGGGACGATTGCCCTGTTGTGAGTGGAAACGGAGGGGCTGCTGTTGGGGGAGGCACAGGAGTCACAGCAGCGACAGGATCTGCTGCGTCCTCTTTGATGTTTTCTCCTGACGAAGACCCGAAGGTCTGCCTTGTGTGCCCGCGACCTGGAGATGAAATGTGCAGCAGCAGTGGCAGCGGGCAGCAGCAGCAGCAGCAGCAGCAGCAGCAGCAGCAGGCAGTGCTTAGCTAAGTACCGGTGGTGCAACGGAGTCAACGACTGTCCGGCAAGCGCAAACCAATCCCGGCCGTACACAGAAGACGAGGATCCGGTGATGTGCCGCGCTAGGGCATGTGCAGAGGGGTACCGCAAGTGCCCCAACGGCGTGCAGTGCGTGCCGGACGTGGCGTGGTGCGATGGCTTTGTGGACTGCAAGCTGCTCGGCAACTGGACCGACAAGAGCAGCAGCAGCACCACCAGCGGCGGCGGCGGCGGCGGTGGCGGCGGTGGCAGTGGCGGCAGCAGCAGCAGCAGCAGCAGCAGCAGCGGCAGTGGCAGCGGCAGTGGGTCGTCAACAACACCATCACCACCACCATCGGTGGCAGCCAAGTACTGGGTGCGGGCGTCCTCTCCCTCCGTGTTGGACGAGGACCCTGCGTTCTGCCAGCAGTGGGAGTGCGCTGTGGGCATGGCCAAGTGCCCCCGCAACCCCTACTGCGCCAGCACTGCGCTCTCTCCTCAGGAGTTCAGACGCCAGTGTGCCGGTATGCATAGGGCTGGCTGGGACTTTGGGTAATTCGTGGTCGGGACTAGGGTTGGTACTTGGGGTCAGGGCTGGGTTTTGGACAGGGTTTGGGACTGGAGTTGGGGTAAAGGTTGGGTTGGGGTGAGGGAGGGTTCGGTGGTGGGGTTTGCTGCGGGTTTGCTTTGAGCAGCTCAATTGGCGTCATGTACGTTTGTGTGCATTGGAACGGGGGATGTGTGGGGTGGTGTGCGGTTGTATGGGGTATGTGGTGGCATGCAGGATATGGGATGGAGTGAGAGAGATTTGGTTGACTGCAGTAGCCTGGCTAATGATGTGTCCTGTTTTGATTTGAATACCAAGGAGAGTCACCTGCTTGTCTTGTCCTTCAGGAATGTGCACTCCACATGTGCTCCACGTGCGCTCCATGTGCGCTGCACGAGTCTACCATGTCACCAACCTTGTCCTGTCCTGTCCACCCACTCCCGATCTCCACCTCTTCATCTTGCATTGGCAGCCATGTATGCTCTCAGCAAAACCACCACCACCAGCAGCAG